GAATACCACCTCATGTTACACAGCTGCAATAAAATGTCTGATCACGCCGCTAAGAAATACTCAGCTCAGCCGGGCTCGGTGGCTCAGCCTGTCATCCCGCGCCTTTGGGAGGCTGAGGTGAGTGGATTGCCGGAGCCTGCGGGTTCGAGACCAGCCTGGGCAACTTGGCGAGACCTCATCTCTACAGTAAATCAAAAATGAGCCGGGTGCGGTAGCATGCGCCTGTAATTCTGGCTACTCGGAAGGCTGAGGAGGAAGGATCGCCTTAGCCCAGTGGGTCGAGGCTGTGGTGGCCGGGAGTGACCACTGCACTCCAGTCTGGGTGACAGAGTGAAACTCCACCTCAAAAAAAAAAAAAAGAAATATTCAGCTCTTCAGAAGGCAATGCCAGACTAGCCTTTGCCGTTGGATACCACCACAAGTCAGCCTGGTACCTGGCCTTTGGGGGATTCAGGAGGGATCAGGCATAAAACCCCGAAGATATTCCTAGCTCCTGAGGATCAAGGGATTACAGCAGAGGATAACACTGCAACTGGAAACAAAAGAAAGCCTCGTGGTGCAGAGCAGAAGGGAGCTCAGAAGAGGAGAAGTGGCCACATAGAGGAGCCGTCTCTAATTTGGTCCAGTTCTAAGTATAGGAAGAAGCTGGAATTCACTGCTGGAGTATTTTTCTTCTTTTCTGTCATGTAATTGACAAGAGAAAGATACAAATAAAAGACAAGCAGTTTGTCTTAAGTTTGTTTACTTCGCTGTGTCCTCTTCAGAGTCAAAAGACTCTGCTTGTCTGCAGAAACAAGACTTGGGAAAACTTCGCTTTGCTTCAGGAAAGTAAGAGCCATGCTGCCAGAGGCAGCAGGACAGGATGGCGACATTGTGGTGAGAGGGGATCTCAGTATCAAGAGATAGGCTGCCCTCGGGAGCCAGCAGGAATTCTGCCACTCATTCTCTCCAGCTGTCACACATCCTAAGGCTTGGCCCTACTGGAGGAACGGAAAGGAAGAGATGGCTCCCGTGAAACACGAGCGGCACTCAGAGGGTCGCTGCCTCATCTTGAGAACGAGCAATTCGCGCTCCCCTGAATACGCACCTACTGCTGCGTGTGGGCCCACCCGTGACAATGTTCCAGGGCTGAGTGAGATGACTTTTCAGACAGACTTTTGCCCTCAGAAAACTCCTCTGGCTGGAACTGTTGATTGGGAATCAGTTTCCAGGAATTCTGTTAGTAACAAGCCCATGGGGTTTCGGTGGAGACAAATGAAATCTCACTAAAAAGACTAGCATCTCTAATCAGGGCGGGTAGCTTTCACTCCAAACAGGCATGATACACAAGGGGAACCCCCCCCAAAAAAAGGAATTACTTTTTGGAGGACGGGCCCCTTGTGGTACGGGCTTCCCCTGCAAGATAAATGTTCTAGGAACCCATCGGCATCCGTGTGCCAGCTAGCGTTGTTGTGAGATGCTGTGTTGGGTTTCAGTGACTTATTTCTTGAGATTCTTTCAATGAGTTTACCCGTTTCATGATGGGTGATTTACGAGTGCACCTGCCACACCATCCTGAGTGTTCAGCAGTTTTTGACCCAAAACATCATGACCCCTGTGCCCTGCCCTCCCTATTCACCCGACCTCTCCCTGAGCAACTTTTTTTTGTTCCCCTCGTGAAAAAAGTCCTCAAAGGGAAATGTTTTGCCAATGTGGAAGAGGTGAAACAAACAAAAAAACAAAAAAACAGCAGAAGCACTAAAAGACATCAGAATTGACAAGTTCAAAACTACTTTGAGCAGTGAGAAAAGCATCTCCACAGGTGTACTACATCAAATGAAGAATACTTTGAAGGTGACTGACGTTTACACATGTAAGAATAAATACACAATTTTGTAGAAATTCCATTATTTTGGGGTCCCCCATATATAGAGAGCTGTTCTCTATATCATAAATCTGGAGAACAATAAAAGCATGCATCCACATATACAAAGGGTGCCCAAAAAATGTATACACATTTTAAGAAAGGAAAAAAACTGTATTAAAATTGCAATACTCAATATATGCCAATAACAAAAGATGAATACAAGTCACATTTGACTTTTGCAAGTACAAGAGGCGCTTAGAGTGGTCACCATCAGTGTCCAGACACTTCTGATTATGGCGAACTAAAAGTAATACATAGATTACATCTCTTAAAATGCTTATACGTTTTTTGGCACCCCCGGTATAACTTCTATCTTCCTAGAGTTCCCTACTAGGTGGCAGTGTGCTGGTAAATGATCACCAACCACAATCGGAAAAAACGATCTATGCATATACGCATGAGTGTATATTTATCATACCTTTTATTGATCTAAAAGGTGTGGAACACAACTTTAAAGAAATAAAATATATAATGCTCTTTTCTGTAAAGTCCATATCGTCGATTGATTCTCAAAGAATACTTAGGATTTTCACAAAGCTGTTGTATTTGCAGCCAACCTTTGGTTGCAAATGACCAAGTATAGTTCTAACATGAATGTTGATGTCTTTGCTTACATTCATGTGTAATGCAAACATGGAACAACTTTCATGTATGGCAGAACTTCACTTTGATAAGTTGGATGTACTTTTCAAATAATGGAAGAATACTTCCTCAAATGTCTGTGCTATTCACAATGTAATGGCCAAACTGCATTATTAACATTTTTCCCTATCATCTTCTCGTCTAAATAATCAACAGAGCAAAAATATAATAAAATGATTAGAAAGTGATGAATTTTGAGTGTTGCCTTTGCTTTTATTTATTTTTAGTTTTTTTTTTTTTTTTGAGACTGGAGTGCAGTGACACGCTCCTGGCCATTGCAGCCTCGACCTGTTGGGCTCAGGTGATCCTTCCACCTCAGCCTTTCAAGTAGCCAGAACTATAGGCGCACACTACCATGCCCGACTAATTTTTTGATTTATTGTAGAAACAAGGTCTCACCATGTTGCCCGGGCTGGTCTGGAACCCACGGGCTCAGGCAATCCTCTCGCCTTGGCCTCCCAAAGTGATGGGATTATAGGCTTGAACCACCGTGCCCGGTCTTGCCTTTGCTTTTAATATATTTCATTTACAAGTTATATAATTTGTAGTGATTCTTGACTAACTTGAAAATTTGACAATGGGCACACAAGCTAACACAGTATGCCTGTGCAGCCAATTCCATCCCATAGATACACATTTTTAAGGTAAGGAGAAAGTAAAAATATAGAATACTTCATGAATTCTCAGGGCTAATTCTATTCTTTCTTAACATGACAGAAAAGTAAAGCTTTGATTCACAAGGGAGACCAGAGAGGAGTTGGCCTGTGAGTTCCCATCTCGGAAGCAGGCTGAGTATGTCTAGAAACAAAACCAACCAGGTGACAAGCCCACAAACAATCAGAAACAGGACCCAGATCTCTGCCCAAGGGCTTATCACAAAGGCTCAAACTAGGCTTTTTTCCAGAAATGTTTTTAATTCCAATATCCATCTTAATGGCCTACTGTAGACTAATTTAGCCAACAGTCGTCAGACTAAAAATGGAAGCAAATGACTCCAGCTGAAAACAACAAAGCCAGGACTATCCAAGTAGCTTGTGAGAAACGGATGCTCACAGAGAGCATTCCCTGTAGAAAGGCTTAATAAGATTCCCACATCAAAAGCAAACACATTTCTTCCTCTCCCGGGACCCTAGAATATTATGAATGTGTTCTCTGGAGGCAACCACTTCCCAGAGTGCCTCTTTCGTAGAACTCCTGCACTTAGGGAGCGGTGGTCCAGCCAAGAGCACCACCTCTGTTGCTCATAGTATCTGTTCCATTCACAAATAGCAGCAGTGTCCATTTATTTATCTTGAGTACCTGCAAGTAACCACTGCTCAGCTCGGTGCTATGTAACTCTGCACACTAGATACTCAGCCAAGTAAGTTCCCTTTGGAAAAGAAGCACAAATTTAAGGCAATGGTCAGATGACAGCCATACCATGCAACTGTCTAGCCAGATTTCTTCCTAGAAAAATCAAAGGTTTTCAGGTGCCACTGTTTGAATGAACCAGGACTGCTGCAAAGTGAGCACATGAAACCTTAACATGATTGTGTCACGATTAAATGTTTTAACCGGTAATCATTCAAGCAGAAGTCAGGTTTCTTGAGCCATCATGATGTCCAGTTTTAGCCTACTTGACTTAAGTACCCTGAAACCTTATGATGCTAGTTTCTATTAGGTGAAATTCAAGTATCATAGAGAGCCACCTAGGCTGGGAAAAATTACTGAAGGGCCCCATAACAAAGGAATCTCAATTATTAGGCCATTGGTACAAAATGCCTGTAAGTTATATCTGCAAAGCCTTCCTGGAGCATGACCTTCATTAAATGCTTTTAATTTCATAATTTGTAGAAATAATAAAAGAAATGATTCACTTTTGCCATCCCCTGAGGAATCCCCATTTTTGCTATTAACAACTGCAAAACTGAATAACCTTCATTTAGAGCACTGGTTTTGGTGTGAACTCAGAATTTTCTTTTCCCGGCTCATAACAGCTCAACAAATACCCCAGGTTCACCTAATGCCGCGAAGTCTGTTCCTGTGTCACCTCCAGGATTATGACAGAAGGGGCTTTCCAGGCTAAGAAGTTAAGAGACACAGGTGCCTGAGGTGAGTTGTAGGTGCACCCGCAGATGTTCTTCCTGAAGGCTGACAGCTTTGGATTCTGCCCTCCAGCTGTCATTGTGCAGGGTGGATCCTTCCGGCAGCCCCGCCCACCTCTGCCCCCCAGTGGTGGGACTCAGATGGCAGAATTCCCTAGGAATGCAGGTGCCACATGGTCATCTACACTCGGCAGGGACCAGTCTTGTTGCTGGTCCTGTCTAAGGTGTGGCTGCAGCCTAATCTCACCCTCGGGGTATAAAACACATTTTGGATAAACACAGGGGTATTAGATTGAGGAAAGGATTGCTTTTCCATGCCGTAAATTAGTTTCTTGAATTAAACACTCGATTTATGAGAACAGCTCTACTGAAGGAAACAAATGCAGTGACTTTATTCTAAGCGATCTATCCCACCACATCAGTGTATTTTCCCCAAAACGAAATCAAGAAGAAAAGAGAAAGAAAGATTGGCTGAAAGTATCCATGACCTAATCTTACTTGACAATTGTTGATATAACATACCTTCTGACAGGCTTAGCTTGAGCAACTTGGAGCAGAAAATCCCTCTTTCTCTTCATACCTACATAATCATGATTGTCTAATATCAGCCATAAAGAAAAATGTGTCAAAATCCTAAAGAAATGTTACAATTCTGCTCACAGGCTTACCTGAGCAAGGATGTATATTCTGAGGTATTACAAAGTCATGGATTTTTAGTATGTAGTCAGCACCAACATGCCCCAGTACACATTTACAGGGCTTTTAACGATGAGTCTATTACCCAAGTCAAAGGTAACAAACTTCTTAGAGCAACAAACGCCATGGGCAGTGATCTCGATAAACCCCATTTCGCTTCTTACAAAGGCCAGTCTGGTGTCAAGGATGTTATTCCAGACAGCACAGGCTCCGTTGATTTGGAAGTCTCCTTAGTGAACTCCTGATTGGAGTTGTCTGCAACATCTCCCTAATATTACGTTTTCACCTCTAAAGCTGGTGAAGAACTGAAGCAGACACTGAACAAGTTTGCTGAGGGAGAGCCTGCCTTCCGGCATCATATCACTGACCCAGAGAATTCACTTTACATGGGACAGTCACTTAAAGTCTACTTTGAACTTAGTGCTCAAAAAAGATGAAAAAGGATAGAGGAAAACTCTAAACAACTATCTATGCCTTGTATCTTTTTCTAGAGATGTAACCTACCAAGAGAGAAGCCAATTTGAAATTTTAAAAATGTAGATGCCCTACAAATGTGAGGGCCATTACCAGTGTAGGAAGACTATTAACTCCAGCAGATGGCATGTTTCTTTCTGTATTACAAAGTCAGTTCCTCATATTTGATAACCTTGATGAATTTTGATCAGCTTTGATTTAACATACAGCATAGATCAAACTGCTTAAAACCTTAATGATCTCATAATACATATTAACATAGAACTCTGAATATAGAAGATCTGTGAAACCCCTAATACTTCTACTTTACAAACTGGCTTTTTAAAAAAAAAATCAAAGAAACGCTCTTTTGAAGAACAAAGTTTTAGGGCCTGGAGGAAAGAGAAACTGATCATTACAAATTCTTCATGGATCCATCAGGCATCTTTTAATCTAGTTCAATCTAAATGTCAAATATCAGATTCTGATCGGACATTATTTCTACATTTTTAGAACAACTTTTCATTCACAAATTCAAGGTGGCAATAGCATTAAAAATATCCACAGGAAAACACTGGCATAAGATCAATAATATAATAGTTATTGCATTACAGTGGTTTCTTTTCTTTTTTTGTATTTTTCAAATGCCCTATTGTACGGCAATACAATTTTTATAATAAAAATTGTAAGTTAACAAAGGACTCAAGGATACAAAGTATGGTTGACCTTGTACAATAATTCTTAAAGCAAATGTGCAGAAAGGAGACATTCAACCAAAATGAAGACACTGGGTGGAAAGGCTCTCAAGGGTCCAGGAGGGGGCTTTAAGGCGAAGCCCATCATCAGCATTTCCCAGCAGCGCTGTCCTTGGAGACAGGAAGCACCGGGAGCCCCAGCCCTGTGGCACCATGGACTCCCGCCAAGGCACATACGACAAGCACTGGATTGCCACACATTTATTAGCCTTGGGTGCCTGGGGAAATCTCAGAGCACTTCTGAAATCTGTACTTGATTCGGTTTTACAGTGAAGAAAGTGAAACTCACACACAAACACCAAAATGACCAACGAATGGCGGCCCCGCTGGCAAAAGCAGCCATTGTAGGGAACCCTACCGCCTCATAGGTATTTTCTGACCCATGGGCTTAGGGAAAGATTAGGGCACATTTCTTTTTCCAATCCATTTCAAATACTCAACTATGTTCATTTTTTAAAAACTGCAACTATATGCAAGACTGTAAGCAGATGTCATTCGCACTGACAGCCCACTCTCTGCCCTTTCAGGAGGTTTGGGGCCATAAAACCAAAATCTGTATTTCAAAACAGGTGTGCATCTCATAAATTTTTAAACTCATTTTTTTAATGTCCTAGCAGACAGTCCAAACTAGTAACTTTACCCAGAGAGAGGAAATATAAATGCTTACGGCATGGTTATATAAAAATAGAAATCTTTCAATAGAGTCCAATTTTCAAGAAACCACACGACTTGTGCCCAAAGGCTGTGCATCTCCTAAGGTGATGTCCTTCCCTGACCTCTAAATAACGCCCCTTCCACAGCCGTGGTATCTGGAGATCGGGCATTTGCCTAATCCCACAGGGTCCTCGGGCAGGGTCACAGCTGTTGGCTGGTGAAGAAGGATTTAGTCTTCCTGCAGATGGGATTCACACAGAGCGGACAACTCAGTGTCAACTGCTTGGAGCACAGCTCATTTGACTGGATATGTGAGCACACCAAGTCAGCCAGCGCCTGCAAAGACAAGAGGCAAGATATCAGGGACACACAATCAGCCTGTTTCCCATGCCTGCCTCCTCCCATCTGCCCAGATAATCGCTCCAGCTTGAGGTTTCTTTTCATCTAAGTTGTGAACCCTTTGAACCAAAGTCTACGACATCTTCGTTTCCTGAGGATCCTCAGCTCCGAGGCAGTTAAAACAGAGATTTCAGGAAATAAAGCCCTCTTACCCCACCCACTGGACCTTTGCTCCGAAAAGCAGATTTTAAATGAAACATAGTTATGAGTGGGTACAAATAAGAAAACTGGGCCTATCGGAAGGAAAAAGTGAGTGGATGAGGAATTCGATTTTTATTTTCGTAATTAATTGGAACTCCAAATGTTCTAATATGTGAGAAAACCAATATTCCGCAAGAGTTTCTCAGAGGATTACTCTCCAGTATGTTGTACTCAAATGGTTGTAACACTACAGATACCTTAGAGAACAATGGATTTCCATTAAGAGACTCTGCTCTTCTGATGTTTTCAACTCCACACTGAATCAAATGAGAAGAGGGAGAAAAACACAAACACATTTTATTTTCCTTTTGTTTTTTTTGCTTGTTTTTTTAAGAAACTGCTACCAAAAAGTAAACCCACACAGATACACGTTCACAATTCAAAGTCCGACTTCACGTGTTCGCGGGCTGCTCATTCATGAAAACCAGCCACAGGGCTGGGCCTGTGTGTTGACTCTGATACTGTAAATAGATCTGCAATTCCGACGTCCTCCCTGACCCCCACTGCTTTCCCACAGCGGGCCTGTTTTCTAGACCATTCCTGAGGTTACACCTGATGAAATTCTCCAGTAATTTAAATCTGCTCACCATTCTTTTTTTTATTCTATCTTTCTAACGCATATTTTTACAAACTTTATCAAGGTAGAATGTTGCTTTAATCAAGTACGTTTGGTACTTGTTTTGATCCCAAGTACCAACATGAAGTAAACTGATTTATGGACTACAAAATGTGTATTGGGCCTACATTCGATCCAATTCAGAGCTGGGCTCTGAATAATCGCCACAATAACTGAAAACTATCTAATTACGAGGTACTCAGGCATTTAGGAGTCTTCGCCCTCCCTTCCCTTCTGCTAGCTTTTTAGTTGCTCAATCTTTTAGATTAGTATTAACATCAGGAAACTCGCATGAGAAACGTTGAGATGCAGCAGACATGCAAGTTCTCTGCTTAAGTGGAGGCTGTATTCTAAAGCACCACATAAAAGTCAGTAGTGGCAGGCTCAGTGGCTCAGCCTGTAATCCCAGCACTTTGGGAGGCCAAAGCGAGTTGGACTGTTTGAGCCCGCGGGTTCAAGCCCAGCTGGGCAACTTGGCAGGACCTCATCTCTACAATAAACGAAAAATTAGCCAGGCGTGGTAGCGTGTGCCTGTAGTTCCGGCTATTTGGAAGGCTGAGGCAGAAGGATCGCTGGAGCCCAGCAGGTTGAGGCTGCGGTGGCTGGGAGCGGCCACTGCACTTCAGTCTGGGCGAGAGAGGGAGACTCCACCCCCCCAAAAAAAAGTCAGCAGCAGCAGGATAACCAGTGTTGGCAAAGCGCATTCTCTGACAATATTGATGGCAGGGTCAGTGAATCCATTTCTGGAGGGTATCTTAGGAAAATGTGTATCGACACTGAAATTCCAATTCTAGACATCTGCCCTCGTAACTGGAAAAAAATGAAACTAAATATTTATGCCAGAATGGTATATCATAGTAGAAAATGATAAACTTCCAACCTGTATAATAATCAGCAATTTAAAAAAAATAATTATGTGGGTCTAATTTTATTCATCGAGTCCATAAAATATTTTAAAGAAACAATGATTATAAAACAGTATGGGTAAAATATCATTTTTTTGGTTAAATGTGTAGAATACCATTTTTGTTAAAACATACACACATTTAGAAGAAAAAGAAACCTATTTTTTATCAAAATGTTAACAAATGTTATCTCTGAGGGGTAAGACTGTGAGTGCTTTCAACTCTCTGTTGTACTTCTCTGAACTGAGATCTTTATTATTTTTATTACTGAAAAGCAGTAAGGTCATTTCTATTTGGAAAAAAAATTCAAACTTTTTAAAGTTAGTTTATTTTCCCCCCTGTGTTGGCATCTCCCCCTGTTGCCCAGGCAGGAGTGCAATGGTATAATCACTGCTACCACAGCCTCACCCTCCTCAACTCAGGCAATCCTCCCGCCTCAGCCTCCTGAGTAACTGGAACTACAGGCACACACCACCACACCCAGCCAATTTTCTGATTTATTGTAGAGACAAGGTTGTGCCCAGATGCCCAGGTGGTCTCAAACCCCTGGGCATAGGCAGTCCTCTCAACCTCTGCCTCCCAAAGTGCTGGGATTACAAGCATGAGTCACCATGCCCAGCATAAGTTAGTTGTTTTCAATGTACAATGTTCTCCCACCAAAATAATAAAATAAATTGCAGCCAGTGGCTCTCTTATGGCCACATGGACTAACTTACTAGTCACTAATAATCCATTTGCATTCTAAAGAATAATGCTGGTTTAGTAATACGAATGAATGTGAACTGCCATTCAGTACAGCCAAAAACTCATTTTCCAAACAACTTAGGATGCACTATATTTTTAGCAAGTTCACAATTAACCAAACTCCTGGTGGGATATACGAGGCATCTTTAAATGAAATCCACAGACAACACTGCAACCACATCTTCACCACTTATAATGTGCCTGTGAACCCTTGATCAGCACCACTGACAAGCCATTTCGGCACCGCCTTCACCCATGTTTGATTGATGACCAGCATGGACACTCAAACGCCAGATGCGCTGGGTGCTGGCTCATGGTCGGCCCCCACCCACTTTCCACTCCTCCCTGCACCTGCCACTGAAAGTCCCGGAGACCGTGAAGTACCCTGCAGGCCGGGCCTCCGCCCATCACACATGGGATGCTCAGGGCCAGAAGTTCCAGCAGAAGCCGGGAGGGAGGAAGGGTCCTGGGTCCCAATACCTCCACACCTCCCAAAAAGACAAAGTTACACATCAGACGCAGGTTTCAGGCCTGCCCTCAGGAGCCATGGACAACAGCTTTTCTCCGCCCTGAATGAAAATTCACAGCCGTCTTACAAGACACCAAGGAGGGTGTTTGTTATTTCAGTGATCAGACTGAACACGGTAGCAAACAGCTAATTGAGTGAGTACATAAAATAATTCAAGAAAATTACAACATGCACGACTTCCATGTTCATTCGTGCTCTTCTCTTAAATGACAATGACTCCTCTGTCTTAAAACCCAAGGAAAATCCTGAGTAAAGGACACCATTAGGCAAAGAGAAGAAATCACCGAACAATACAATTTTTTCCGTGAGAACTGATGAGCAGTACAGTTCTTTTTCCTTAAAGAAATGGAGCTGTTATCACTTTCAAGTAGCACGGTAACTCGATCTAAAAAGAATGTTGAACGCAGTGATTCCTGGGCCACCTGATTTAGCAAAAGCACAGGTCTTCTCTCCCCCTCCTGCTTCACTCGATGTGCCATGATTATTACTCATATGATTCAGAACGAGGGCCCTGTACATACAAACAGATATAGTAAATAGTCGCTCTGAATGATGCATTAGACAGTTGCAGGGGTGTTTCTTTTGTCAACAAATCACAAGCGGATGACTAAAGCAGACAGGTGCATTTACCTCATTGGCTAAAACCTGAGAATACTCAATGTCCAGTTCGTACAGCGTTTCAATGTGATCACTGGTAAACGCGACTGGAACCAAGAGGATATTCTTCCTCCCTCTCTCACAAAGCCCTTTGATAGATTCGTCTGTTTGCGGACCCAGCCAGGGCATCGGGCCGACCTGTGAGGAAGTAGGATGCATGCGTAAGTAGGATGAATGCTAGTCAGTCCAGCACACTTCCCCGGCCCTGGGACACACCCCTGCCAAGTAGGAGCAAGAGCCCCTCTTTACACCTGCTAGAATGGGCTCTGGGATTTCCATACTGAGCTTGAATCCTTCTAGAAGTTGGCCCAACATAAATGTCTGGCATTATAACTAAAAATAAAGTACTGATCAGGCATGGTGGCTCACACCTGTACTCTCAGCACTTTGGGAGGCTGAGGCAAGAGGACCGCTTGAGCCAAGAGTTCGAGACCAGCTTAGGCAACATAGAGAGACCTTGTCTCTACAAAAAAACCCAACTCGACAGGAGTGGCAGTGTGCGCCTGTAATCCCAGATACTAGGGAGGATCACTTGAGCCCAGGAATCCAAGGCTGTGGCGAGCCGTGATCATGCCACTATACTCCAGTCTGGGTGACAGAATGAGATCCTGACTCAAAAAAATAAATGAATAAAAATAAAATACTAAATCAATGGAACTCCATGAGTCATGTGATTTCCCCTTCTACCTTACTTACCTACAGAGTTCTTTCAGGCCATGGTGAGCAATCAGTTTATTGGACTGCCTGACTCTGTGAAAAAGCCATATCTAATGACTTGATAGCAAAGTCCTAAAATAAACCTTCTCAAAAGAGCTGACTGCCCACAAAAGTGTGGAGGCCACCTACCTTGGACTGCCACACCAGCCGGTAGGGGTTGCAAAAACCCAGCCTCTCCATGACTTTCTGGACAGTGGCGCCCACCTCCTGAGGATAGGGGTCCCCTCTGTTGACCACCTGCATTAGACAGAGAAAACAGGTGTTCAGTCACCAACATGGTGAAGGCTCCGAGAGCTTCTGTGCGGTGACACAGTGTGAGCCCTGGACCGAAGTCCTCCCTTTCTAGCCGCTGCACTAATGATGACCCCATCTGAGCTCCATCACCAAGCTTCCTTGGTTCTATTTCTTCATCGGGTGAAGGAACACTGGACTCAGTGGCCTCCAAGGTCCCCGAGGAGATGGAAAGTTCTGGGCCCCGTGTTATTCGTGGGAGACTGACAAGGTGTGACTAGGGAAGATGGTTCTTCCCCCTCCTCACCTGAAACAGGGAGAGGACACAGAAAAGTTAGGCAGCAACAGTCACCCCGGAACGGAAACGTCCACCTTGGCATCATGTGAGTAGTCGACTTTGCAAGAGGAACTGAAAGCATGCCACGTGGACAGTGGACAGAACAGCTGGCCTTCTAGAAACACGGGTGACATAAGGGAAGGAAGCAGCAGCACACAGGCTCAGGCTGCAGGCTTCTTGAGAACAGGACCTGCACCTTTTACTTCTTCCCTCCTCAGGCTTCCTGCAACAATGGCCTGAGACAGACGCTTTGCGTACAGCGAATGTGTGGTACGTGTCCCCTTGCTAATGCCTCTGACCATATTCAACACGATGATTATTTTAATGCTTTAATACTTCATCATGTACTGACTCCCTAGCCCTTTTTCCCGCCTTATTTTTTTCGGTCACGACTAGTATCTTCTAATCTACCATACTATTTTCTTACATAGCATGTTTACCAACTTGTCCCCCTACTCTCTGAGGAAAAAGATCTTTGTCTGTTTTCTGCATTCCCACATCCTGTGACAGTGACTGGAACAGCGCCTGGACTATAGCAGGTGCTCAATAAATCCTGCTGACATGAAATGCTGACTAACTAGTCTATGATATTACTAATGGTCAGTTTAAAAAGGCATTGAAGCAAAAATGTGGAAAGAACGAAGGAATCACCAGATTGCTATGGCACAACAATGCAATGATTGCCACAAGCAAGACCACCAACGAATGCTGAAATGAGCGACAAAGTCTGAGGAGCAACGCAATATTTGCATAGCCTCGACACATCTCCTCCAGGATGTCTTTAATGACAAAGAGAAAAACAGTCATTTTGCAATGGACAAATCCAGCAGGCACCACCTCAGACAAGTGACCAAGGATCTCATCAGCAGGAGCAAAACATTTGGACATCACGGACCCCGTGGTGGGGTCTGCCATGGTGGGCACATCATCCCTTGTGTTCTTGCCAGTGATACACAACCAAAATCGAGTCAGGACAAAGCATCAGACAATCCAAACGGAGGGACATGCTGCGAAACGACTGACAGTTTACAAAACAACCCTTTAAAAATATCCAGGTGAAAAAAAGAAAAGGCCAGTGTGAAGAACTGCCACAGACTGGGCGAGGCTGAGGGGACACAGCAACTAAATGCAACGTGGGCCACTGGAAGAGAAAGCGGACATTTGTGAGACGACCGATGGACTCCAAATCACGTCTGGAGTGTAGTCCCAGGACTGTGCCAATGCTGACATCTTGGCTGTGATGACTGTGGTTATAGGAGACGTGAACCTGGGGGAAGCAGAGGGAAGAGTCCATGGGCACTCTCTGTCTTCTTTTAGCCTCTTTTCTCTGAGTTTAAACACTTTTTCAAAGCCAGAAGTTTAAACAAAGTCATTAGCAGCGAATGTAGGGGAGCTTGCTGTCAGCGTCTTCCTCAAAAAACCCCACCATCTTCCCTCCACCTGTTCTCCTCGTGTGCGTGGCATTCTTCAGCTCCACACAGGACCCTCAGACAGTAAAACTGCCTGGAGGTAGCATGCTCCTCCCCAGGGAAAGAAGGAAGTGAGGCTGGGGGTGAGGAGGCCAGGCAGCACCTGGAACCGTTCTGGGCAAAAATGCATTTCCTGCGGGCTGGTTCAAGAGCTTGCCTTCGGGCCCTGGGCCTGGTCGGTCAAGCCCAGGAGGAGGGCGGGGCAGGAGGATGGGCGAGCGGAGTGCGGACGCCAGAAAGAGAAGGCGCTGCCCTGAAAGTAAAACAGGCAGGCTTCTAGAAGACAGCAAGTTGTCTCCAGAGTCACCAGCTGCACAGGGGCAAGAACCCGGGGGCTGCAGGAGCGGAAAGGCTGCCAGGGGCTCTGCCCCGATGACCCCCAGGTGGTGGCGGGGGCATGGGTGGAAGCCTGGCCTCAGGATGGTTCCATTCAGAACCATGGAGTGAAAACCTTCATCACACCTAAGAAAAGCTGCCTGTCACCTCTCTGGCGTGGAAAGTAATGTTTTTAGGACGCGGTGCTAGTTCTGAGTGGAGGAACCTGGTGACTGGTTCCACGCACTTCATACACCACACAGCACACTGGCTTGACCATTCTTGTTTCCGAGATAGGGCACAGACTGTATTTTCGTGAACAAACTGAGACGTAACCAGATCACAGCCTGATACGCTCTATATTCACTTGCCAAAAGTTGGCTCCTAGTCTTAGCGAACTGAAAAACTTGAATGGCTTCCTGGAATTTCAGCAGCCCCTTTCCAGCCTTGAGGACTAAAGCCAGGGACGAGAGCACCTAGTCTGAAGAGACGCACCACCATCCAACACAGACATCAGGCGGAGCTCTTCAGCGGGGCGGTGGGGGGGAGTCTTCTCTTAATCGCCCCGCTTGTTAGAAGCTCTTACATACGAACGTATCTTCAAGTCACCATTTTAAAACAAAAAGGAAGAGAGCTATTTACAGAATTGTAATCTGAGTTAGTTGTTATGAGGCTTGAAGTTAAGTTAGCACCAAGTTAAGTCTGGAATTGAAGAATTCATTCTTCCCTGGGCTTAGGACAAAGTGGAAGCTGGGCTCATTTTACACACTTGGAAAAGAAAACAATCTGATCCTCTGCCACTAGGTCACCCAACAGAATGTTCTTACTTACAGACATGGGCAGTGAGTGAGCAGAAAACAGAATGACCACCTCGCTTCTCTTCTCGGGTGGAAAATGGTCCAGTTCTTTCAGAATGTGTTCTGCGAAACACTGTGGAGATACCAAGAAAGAGGAGAAGGACGAAGTGGAGGTGAGGAAAGGGGAACAGAAGAGGAAAAAATATTTTAAAAATGAGAGCTACACTCAAATCTCAGAGCAGCTCTTGAAAATCAGAACACTCTTTTTTTCAAAAAAAAATTGCAAACAGTACAGTCTCTTTGCTTTGGTTCATCATCAGAATGGATCGCAACGGCTGCAGGGGCCTGGGGAATTTGATGGGAAACTTCTAAAGCTCGCTAATGGCTCGCTGCAAATGAATGCTGTGAGCTGCTTCCCCTCGGGAAGAGCAGGGCACACTTCCAGATGGAAAGGAAACGCAGATGGGAAGGAGAGGCTGTTTTAAGGCCTCTCATTTGCTCCGTTAGCAGGAAAACAGCTTACAGGGTCTTTCTAGATCTTCCTTAGTTTGGCTTTCAGGCACACCGCATTAAATACATTAGTCAGAAATAGGAGAGAAACCAGAAAAGACGCTTCTATTTTTACAACGTTGTCTTCTGAGCCCAGTATCCTCAGAGCCAGTCTCCTTAACGACCCAGTAACGACCTTCACAGCAGATGACAGGTGATACACCCCCCCTGAACT